TAGGTTATGAGCCCCGCGCTCTAGCAGTCAACTACACACACTACTAGCGCGCCACAGAGTCAATCACTTCGATTTTCGGACCACTCCTTGTCCCAATACTCTCATATCTTTCACTCTCTGCCACAATCTGCGCTTTCATCCTCTGCCACTCTGCTTGTGCCACAAATGTCGAACCACTCGTCCTCTCCCTCCTTCCCCAAGCTCAATGCCTCGAACTACAAGTCCTGGGCTGGGGACATGGCTGCCTGGCTGCGCTCTGCAGGCCTGTGGCGCCTTGTCTCTGGTGCCTACCTCAAGCCAGAAGCAAAGGACCCCAAGGCCCCCACTGAAGCGGAGGCCACACTACTGGAGAAGTGGGAGGTGGAGGAGGCAAAGGCTGCTGGGTGGTTGTATCTCATGGTTGAGGTGGACCAGAAGGTGCATTTCTCCAACATTGACAGCGACCCTGTTGCAATGTGGGCGGCCCTCAAGGCTGTCCACCAGCGTCCCCATGCTGCTGGACGTTGGAATGCCTGGGAGGCCTTGTTGTCTATCAGGAAGAGCGATTCTGAGTCGCTTCAAGTGGTTATCAACCGCGTTGAAGACGCCATGCAGCAATGCAAGAATCTGCGCCCTGACAAGTACACCCTGGACGACCTTGACAGTGAACTCACTGTCATGGCTATGATCCTGGCCCTCCCTCGCGAGGATTTCACCCTTCTGCGCACTCAGCTGCTCAATGGCGACCTCAAGAAGGCCACAGTCATCCAGGCCTTTGTCACTGAGGATGCCCAGCACCGCCATGACTCCACCATTGCCTCCCAGTCTGCCCTTGCAGTTGCCTCGACGTCCTCTGGCCCCTGCGACTTTTGTGGCGCATCTGGCCACTCCCAGCCACAGTGCTACTCGTTCCAGAAGGCCCAGAAGCAGGCCAAGGAGCGCCGTGCCACCAGAGGCAAAGGGAAGGCTGCCACTGCGCAGGAGAAGCCTGCAGAACCTGCCCAGGAATCCGCTGCAAATGCAAGTGCCCTCTCCTCACACTCCCTTGAGCCCTCTTCGCCCTCTACACCACTTCAGCTTGATGCTGACTTCACCTGGAATGCAGACACAGGCACCACTTCTCATATGACGCCTCATCGCCACTGGCTTCGCAATTACAAGCCACTGCGCTTGCCTGTGAAGTTGGCTGACAACAAGGTTGTCTATTCTGCTGGTGTTGGGTTGGTCGTCTTCAGGCCCAGGGTGAAGGGAGCGTTTGTGCGGTCTGTGGAGTTCTCAAGGGTGCTGCATGTGCCTGATCTGTGAAGCAATCTCCTGTCCTGTCTTCATCTTGCGCGCAATAAAGGGTTTACAATCACCATTTCGTCCAATGCCATGGCCTTCTATCAGTCTGGCACACTGCGCTTTGTCGCACCAATTGACCCCAACAATGCTGCCTACCTTGATGGCGAAGTTGAGCCTCTTGTTGAGGCCTCAGCGCGCATTGCAGCCACTCTGCCACTCGACCTCAACCTCTGGCATCGTCGTCTTGCTCACAATAACTATGCAGACGTCCAGAAGCTTGTCAGAGACGAACTGGTCACTGGTCTTACCCTCAGCTCGAAGCAGCAGCCTGATCCTGTCTGTGAGCCATGCCTAGCAGGCAAAATGCGAGCAAACTCCTTCCCTCCTTCGTCTCATGTGTCCACCATGCCCCTAGAGCTCGTCCACAGCGATGTCCATGGCCCTCTGCCTGTCCGCACTCACTCTGGCTATCGCTACTGGATCACCTTCATCGATGACTACTCCAGATTCAGAGTTGTCATCCTGCTCAAGGCCAAAAGTGAAGCCTTTGCTGCGTTCAAGCGCTTCAAGGCCTATGCTGAGAACCAGCTGGGGGTGAAGATCAAGGCGCTCCAGGACAACAAGGGAGGGGAGTACATGTCCAGTGAGTTCGTCGCGTTCACAGACTCCTGTGGCATTGTGCGTCGCCACACTGTGCGCAACAGGCCACAGCAGAACGGGGTTGCTGAGTGCGCCAATGGTGTCATGTCTGACACGGCCACTGCCATGCTTGCAGAGTCCTCCCTGCCTGCGTCCTTCTGGGGCGAGGCTGTGGCTGCTATGGTCCATGTCTGGAACCGTCTGCCCACCGCTGTGCGCCCTGGCACCACGCCCTACGAGCTCTGGCACAAGGGCAAGCCCAGTGTGGCACATCTGCGAGTCTGGGGCTGCACTGCTTATGTGCACATCCAGAAGGACCAGCGCAAGGGTCTGTCGCCTCACATGCAGAAATGCGTGTTCCTTGGCTACCTTGACGGCTACAAGGGCTGGAAGTTCTACTGCCCTGACACCAGGAAGGTGGTGATCTCAGAACGCGCCGAGTTTGATGAGCGGTTCTTCCCTGGTCTGAGGCGCACTCCTGCCTCGCTTTCCACTCCCATTATCGACCCGCCGACCTCTGAGCCTGTCCCTCTCTTTGTACCTGCACTGGATCAAGGGGGGGACAACGACTCTGTGCCTGCTGCCATTCCTGAGGCCCCTATTGCACCAATTCCTGCAGCGGCACCTCTTCCAGTTGCTTCAGTGCCTGTCCAAGCTCCTGCACCTCCAGCACCCATTGTGCCTCCTATGCCACAAGCTGTTCAGCCACCTCCTGCGCCACAAGCTGAGCACCAACCCTCTCCTGAAGCGGACGACCTCAATCTGCCCATTGCCATTCGCAGGGGAAGACGACATGCACCAGTCCCTGCAAAGTGCGAAGACTCTCCTGATCCCCTCGACCTGTTTGCTGAGGAAGCAGATTTCGTCGAAGTGCAGTTTGCTGGGCTAGCAGCTGGTGCTGACCCTTACAATTTTTGCGAGGCCATGCGCTCCCCTGATGCCAAACTGTGGCAAACAGCCTGCAACAATGAGATACTGTCTCTGATTGCGAACCACACCTGGGATGCAGTCCCTCTGCCTGCTGGAAAGAAGGCCATTGGATGCGGCTGGGTGTTCAAGGTGAAGTACAATGCAGACGGCTCCATTGAGCGGTACAAGGCTCGACTTGTGGCCAAGGGCTACTCACAGCGGCCTGGCTTTGACTACACCGAGGTTTTTGCGCCCACCTCTCGCCCTGCTGCCCTGCGCCTTGTCCTTGCCCTCACTGCTATTGAGGATCTGGAGCTGCACTCTGTCGACATCTCCTCCGCATTTTTGCAGGGCGACTTGGAAATCTACATGCAGCAACCTGAAGGCTTTGCTCAAGGTCCCCCTGGCACAGTCCTGCGTCTAGGCCGTCCTCTCTATGGCCTCAAGCAGGCTGGCCGCATGTGGAACAAGAAGCTACACCAGGTGCTCACCTCCATGGGCTTCAAGCGGCTCGAGTCTGACCGCAGTGTGTACATCTATCTGCGAGATGAAGTGCGCATTATCATCCCTGTGCATGTGGACGACCTCACTCTGGCCTCCACCTCGTGCGCTGCCATTGACAAGACAGTCAAGGAGCTCTCTCAGCACTTCAAACTGCGCAACCTTGGTCCCACCACATTCCTGCTGGGCATTGAGATTACCAGAGACCGCAAAAAGTGCACCATGTTCCTGTCGCAGCGGCAGTACATCCTGGACATGCTGGAGCGATATGGCCTCACCAGCTGCAAAGCGGTGTTGACTCCAATGGAGCCTGGCCTTCGCCTTTCCAAGCAGCAAGCCTGTCAGAGCGATGAGGACCACACCTTCATGCAGGACAAGCCCTACCTCAATGCAGTCGGCTCCCTCATGTATCTGGCCATCACCACTTGCCCTGACATCCAGTATGCTGTCTCCTGCCTTGCGCGCTTCAACTCCTGTCCTGGACCTGCCCATTGGGCCGCAGTCAAGCACCTCTTTCGCTATCTGCAGGGCACCAAGGACCACAAGCTCGTCTACAGGCCTGACGACCTAGGAGCTCCCTTTGTGACCTTCACAGACTCTGCTCATGGTGACTGTCTGGACTCTGGGCGTTCCACCAGTGGCTACTTGGTCAAGGTTGGCTCAGGAGCGATCAGCTGGTCCAGCAAGCTCCAGTCCATTGTCGCACTTTCGACTACAGAGGCTGAGTATGTTGCTGCAGTGGATGCTGGCAAGGAAATACTCTGGATGTGCAATCTCATGGCCGAGTTTGGCTACACAGTGGACGCTCCCTCGCCCCTGCAGATGGACAACCAGTCGAGCATCAATGTGTCCAAGAATCCTGAGCACCATGGCCGCATGAAGCACCTCGACCTGCGCACTTTCTGGCTCAGAGACACTGTGGAGGCTGGGCGCATCAAGCCCTGCTATATCCCCACTGCAGACATGCTTGCAGACTGTCTCACCAAGCCGTTGCCTGCACCCAAGGTCGCATTCTGTCGCACTGGGATGGGTATTGAGGTGTCCTAGTCTCCCTGTGGGACTTGGCAGATCAGGGGGGGTATGTCACAATGTGCTCTGCCACAGTCCCCTGGTCGGCCTAGGACGATCCCCCGGTGGCGGGAGCCACAACACCATGTGACCACATGGTTGTATCAATTGCGGAGCAATCGGACCGGACCAAGAGCTCCGGCCACACTTCTTTTGTTCCATTGTTCCTGTGGCCAAGTGGCCCTTGTTCTCCTTTTGGACTGCTTTGTTCTTTCTTCTATTGTTCTGCCGTGGGAATGCTTTCCCCTGCTCATGTATATAAAGGGCTGCTGTAGCGACCTGTAATATCACTTCTGTGACCCACTTCGACTTCAGCCCCACTTGTGGCATTCAGTCCTTCAGTGCTAGTCCTGTGCAACTGCTCCCTGCGTCGCCTTTTGATACCTCGCACCAGTGCCAGGGGTCATTCCCAGTAAGCCAGTTGGTCATGAGATTTTAGCAAAGTCCTTCATGAAGCGGCGGTAAAAGTTGGAAAACCCCCAGAACTTCTGAACATCCTTTTTGTTCCGGGGCACCGTGTCACGATTTGACACGGCGTCTAGCCGTTTTTTAATTTTTCCTTTTCGCGGGCTCGAACCCGCGACCTCTGTACTACTTGCCTGATACGGACACATCGCTATCTACTGTACGATTAGATTAGATGGGACGGCAGTGCGCGGCACAGCTCGGGCTCCGCTGGCACAGCCGCTCTGACTATTGGCCCCCGGGGCCACGTCAGCATGCTGCACACGGACCAGCTACGCACGGACCAACTGCGCACGGACCAGCTGTGCATGGACCAGCGTGCACAGCCTGCCCTTATCTCCCCATGTATATAAGCCGGCCTCTGCTGCCCTAGGGACCTCAGTTTTGACCTTTTGTCCCTAGGTCAGTAAGCTCTTGTATTCTCTTACTTACCTTACACTAACTAATACATTTCTTGTCCCTAGCCTTAGGTTTGAGCCTAGCTCACCATCGCTTTGGTAAGATAAGTTGAACACCCCTAGCTTTTGGTTTTTCCCTGTCGCTCGACCCTAAGTTGCAACATAGATATTGTGTTTGCGGTCTCGACGCTTGCTCAATTCATGGCCAACCCCACGCCAGTCCACTAGGAGGCCGCTAAACATGTGCTTTGCTATCTCAAAGGCACGCGCAATGTCAGAATTTGACTACATAACACCTGCATGAAAAGATCCGCACAACCAGGGTTTGAACCCAGGACCTACCAGAGATGCACTGGGCGCTCTACCACTGAGCTATTGGACCTTGGTTACTATGGAATCATGAAGTCTCATATACGTTACTTCAAGGGTATGAACATGACCTATATTATGGATTCAGAGGTTCTTAACCATCTCATATGTGTCAGAGCACACATTTGACATATCAAAAGGCGATGCAGGGAGCAGTTGCACAAGACTAGCACTAAAGGACTGAATGCCACAAGTGGGGCTGAAGTCGAAGTGGGTCACAGAAGTATGGATTAAAGGACGCTACAGCAGGTCTTTATATACATGAGCAGGGGAAAGCATTCCCATGGCAGAACAATAGAGAAAAGAACAATAGAGTCCAAAAGTAGAACAAGGGCCACTTGGCCACAGGAACAATGGAACAAAAGAAGTGTGGCCGGAGCTCTGCTCCAGTCCGATTGCTCCGCAATTGATACAACCATGTGGTCACATGGTGTTGTGGCTCCCACCACCGGGGGATCGTCCTAGGCCGACCAGGGGACTGTGGCAGAGCACATTGTGACACGCGATCTGCGTCTCACCTTTGGCTTGTCCACCGATGGACTGATGGGCTATTCGGACGCTGATTGGACATCCCAGCCACATCATTATTCAATATCTGGCCATGTCTTCCTGTTCACAAGCGGTGCGATCACCTGGAGCTCATGGAAGCAACCCATCATTGCGCTGTCTTCCACGGAAGCAGAATATATCGCTGCCTCTGATACAACATGGGAACTCCTATGGCTATGTGCTCTGTTCGCTGAGCTTACTTCCTCCTCACCTTCTTTGATTCCTCTCTTTTCTGACAACCAGAGCGCAATCACTATTGCTAAGAACGGCCTCCTCAATGCGCGCACCAAGCACATCGACATTCACTATCATTTTATCTGCGAAGTTCTCAACTCTGGCCGTGCCACGCTCGACTACTGTCCAACCAACGACATGGTCGCAGACCTTCTTACGAAGGCCCTGGCGCGTCGCAAAGTCGACTTCCTTGCTGGCCTGATGGGGCTTCATCCGGCTTGAGGGGGAGTGTTGATGGACAAGTGCGTCCATATGCCCCGCGTGGATATGTGTGCGCATGACATTGCATTATTGCGTCGGGATCAGCATAATGTTGTCGCGCCCCTGGCGCCCCTGTTCCTGTCTGTAAATACCCTGTCCTCTTCGTTTAGCCCGTGCACCATAGATACAGGTGACTCACCCTACTACGGCACGCTATATACCTGTCATTTTCATGATGCGAGCTTCAGTCAATGTTCTACTCACTGAAGCTCGTAAGTCTTTTTCTACCTCTAAGTACTGTACATATACTGATCTCCTGTAAAGTGACCGAACGTCGTTAGGTACAGTAATAGAGTCGATATTTTACTCACTGAAGCTCTGACCGAACGTTGTTAGATCCGACATTGCTTGTACCTCATTAAAAGCAGGGGGTGTGAGGTATAAGTAGGAAGGGTAGGTATTATGTGTATTTGAACAGGGAACAAGCTAAGGCATCGGATGGATGTAGGAAGCATGGATCACAACTGTGGATGTCAAACATCCTGATGAAGGCTCCAATCATTTAGTTTATATTTACAAATTTATGGTAAATAAATGGTAAACAGTAAACAGATGGTATAAACAGTTTGTAAACAGTTTACTGTTGGAACAACCAGTGCGACGGCGCAGGGCGCGTTTGTCCACAATTGTAGCAATGTCTGTAAGGGACAATCACGTGCAGTACATACATTGTGCGGGGTCGTTATATACTATGATAGGGGCCTCCGGCCCCCGGCTACTCACACGCCCAAGCTTGCGAGCTTGTTCCTGACCACATGGGGCTATGCATTTCAACATTTACATACTATGGTTTACCAGTGGATGCCCCCCCCTCTTGATGGCCAGGTTTGTGATGCAAAACAACTGGGCACTCCCCTGCCCTCAAAGTTATATGGACACCTACGTTTTCATATGCCTGCTTCCACCTCCAAGTGGAATCAGAGCAAATGGATGAGTCATTGAGGAGTCCTTCTTTCAAGGGGTTTGATGGCAATGTCACGCCCAAGAGCATGATGGCCACGATGGACATGAGCAGAGTTACAAAATTGACCTGTCGATCACTGTGGGGTTACACACCACTGAGCAAATGTTCAAGCCCTGACCCTATGAGCTGAGCAGACCTCTGAATCATCACATTGATGTGATGAAGTGTTACCTGGCCATCAAGAGGGGGGGCCATCCACTGGTAAACCATAGTACTGTTTACATAGCAATCAAGGTGTTGTACTAAATTAAGACCTTTCTTGTCTACTGTCACGAGTTTGTCATGACTTGGCACAGTGTCTAGCCGTCTTTTAATTTTTTTCTTTTTGTGAGCTCAAACCCACGACCTCTGTACTACACACTCAAACAGACAAGTCCTTATCTACTGTACAATTAGATTAGATGGGGTGGCAGTGCACAGCACAGCTCGGGCCCCACTGACACAGCTGCTTTGACTCACCAGCCCCGGGGCTGCGTCAGCATGCTGTGCACAGACCAGTGCACACAGCCTGCCCTTATCTCCCCATGTATATAAGCTGGCCTCTGCTGCCCTAGGGACCTCAGTTTTGACCTTTTGTCCCTAGGTCAGTAAGCCCCTGTACTTACTTACTTATTCAATGCTAAGTACTTGTCCCTAGCCTTGTCAAATGTGTGCTCTGACACATATGAGACAGTTAAGAACCTCTGAATCTATAATATAGATCATGTTCATACCCTTGAAGTAACGTATATGAGACTTCATGATTCCATAGTAAACAAGGTCCAATAGCTCAGTGGTAGAGCGCCCAGTGCATCTCTGGTAGGTCCTGGGTTCAAACCCTGGTTGTGCTGATCTTTTCATGCAGGTGTTGTGCAGTCAAATTCTGACAAGCCTTAGGTCTGAGCATCGCTCACCATCGCTTCGGTGAGAATCAGTCGGACGCCCCCAGCTATTGGTTTTCCTCAGTCGCTTGACCCCAAGTCGCGACATTAGGTCAAAACTCCACAAGCTGCCGACGTTCCCTTGGGACTCCCAAAACTCACTTTCCTTTCCCACAGGTCAGGTGGTGCGCACCCCTACGATACTTCACTGTACATACGATACGTAGATAGCTTTACCATACATCGCCACCCCTCGAGGAACAAACTCTTCAACACCTGCACTTCAGTGGGCGGTGTTTGTCCTCATGGACGCATGGACTAGGTTCCTGCTGCATAATAGTCAAAAGCAGTACTGGGCCCCACGTGAACTGCGAACCTCAGGGTCTTCTCGGGCGCTGTAGCGTAAGCTAGTGTAGTACGGTCATTTTAGTACATGCACCTCCCCGTCCTCCCCCCATCCAACGTGGCTGCCTGCCAAGGCCAGATCCACGCATTCAACTCCCAGGACCTCATCGACGTCTATATCCCAGACGGCCCTGAGACTGTCCTTCATCGTTGCGAGCAGCAGCCGTGCCCCAACCGGACACCCCGATCGATCGAGGAGGATTACCCTCGCTACAAAGCGATCCGACGAGCGCAACACCCGCTCGGACCCCGAAGTACCCTTGCATCTCTCGCGGCACTCTCGCCCTGTCTCCCCTACCTCCCGTCTTCCCCAAACTGTCGCCGAGTCCGGTCAAGCTCGGGGAGATCTCCCTCCAAACCCTGCGCCAGAGCCTGAGCCTGAGGAGGGTGCAGGTGAAGAAGGAGTCTCGGAGTCCGAGTCCGAGGATTCTGTTGGGTCCGCCTCGCTGACAGCGCTCGCCCCCGCGTCAGCAGTCCCTGACGTATGTAACCCCCCCGCCGAACTTTCTCCGATGCCTTCATCGCCGACTCCGCCGAGAGGCCGCGCGAGCACTCGCTCCTCTCAAAGTTCGACCAGCAGAGGGCCACCACAACCGCCTCCACCCCCGCAGCGTCCTCTGTCCCCCCCGACGCCGATAATGTCATCCCCTGCAGCCGCCCCCGACAAGGAGACTTTGAAACTTCTCCTCCCACTCCGATACGATGGCAAAACAGTCATCGAATGCAACCGGTTCCTGTCGCAGTTGCGCATCTACTGGCTGGTCAACACGTCGTTGACCACCATCGAGCTTAAGGTGCAGGTCGCACTCAGCCTGCTTGACAGAGATGCCCGCGCCTGGGCCACTCTCTACTTTGCCCAGCTCGCATCGGTGCAGGTGGGTGTGCAAGGGGCCACGACCCCGTTCGCAAACGAAGCAGCCTTTGCCGCCGCCTTCAGGGCCTGCTTCGGAAATCTCGACGATGAGGCGGCAGCACAAGTAGAGCTGGCGAAGCTCTGCGCGGACAAGTCAGTCCGTGAAAAATGCACTGCTGCGGAGTTCTCCGCGCTGTTCAAGGGTCCGGTGGATCGCTCTGGGTATGGGGACCTGGAGCTACGTGACAAGTACCTGAGTGGCATCCCCTCCCGCGTCTACCGCAAGATCGAGCTCGAGACCTTTGCCACGTGGCAAGCCGCTGAGAAGCGCGCCACCGAGGTCGAGCAGATCCTCGACATCAGCCGGGCCCATCGGCCCTAGCTAAACAACTTCTTCTCGGCACGAGGTCGAGGACGCGGAGGGGCACGTGGTGGTGCACCCTCGTCACACGCAGCTTCGGCCAGCATCAATGCGGCCGTCGGAAAAGGAAACTTCCCCGGCAGTTGTTTCGGCTGTGGGAAGCAAGGGTACCGACGCTTCGAGTGCCCCAACTGTAAGGACAAACCTTACACAAAACACACCGACGCGCGGGCTACGGTTGCCTCGGGCTCCACCCAGGCTGTGACAAGCGCCCCCGTCACGACAACACCTTCGGCAAGTATAAGTGCCGCTTCAGCGAAATCCGAGCAATCGGAGCTGGTGGACTTAATGGCACAGGTGAAGTCGATGCGCGAGGAGCTTGAGCACTATCAGGTGATGAAAGAGGAGGGTTTTTGATCTGGTCCGTGCTTCGTGCCGCACGCGTCGGGCCACATAATAATAACATGTACAATGTATTGGCTACTGCGAATGTTTACGAGTTGGACCACGGGTCCCAGCACTTCCACATTCCAGTACGCCTCAAAGGAGAAAGACGGCATAAGGACGTAACCGCTATGGTGGACAGCGGAGCCACCACGAAGTTTATCAACAAGCGTTTCATCATGGAGAATCGAGTACGAACGCGGAAACTAAAGGAACCAATTCCGCTTTATAATATCGATGGAACGCTCAATAAAGACAGAAGCATCTCGGAGGTAGCCGTGCTACAGATGCAAATAGGAGAGCACGTCGAGAAGACGGTGTTTATGGTCACGGACATCGGTCCAGAGGATGTGATCGTTGGGTTAGATTGGCTACGCGAGCACAACCCGGAAATCAATTGGGAGGAGGGCTCCCTCAAATTGTCACAATGCCCTGAAACGTGCAGTGCCAGAAGGACTGGCCGAATGGAGCAAGCAGCGACTGCGCGTGATACGGGGGTCAGGCCCACGGCGCGCAGGCATTCGCCGAAGTCCAAACGGTCAATTATAGGTGCTTGCCGGAGTAAGGTACTCCCGGACTTTGAACCCGAAGAAGATCCGGTAGAGGTCGGGTGGGATGAGACCGACTTGATCGAAGCCTGGGAGCAAGGCATCACGCTTCCCGGCGCTCCTCAGCTGTTCGTCGCAGCAGGACATACGTACTCCTAGCTGTTTGCTGAGGAGGAGATCAAAAAGAAGATCGTTAAGACCGCTGAGGAGTCGGTGCCCAAGCAGTACCACACGTTCCTGAATGTCTTCTCCAAGGAAGCATCAGAACGGCTGCCTGAAAGGAAGCCTTATGATCACGCGATCGAACTCGTGCCCGGGTACTCGACGTTCCACTCAAAGGTGTATCCCCTATCGAGCAACGAGCAGGAGGAACTTGATAAGTTCCTAAAAGAGCAACTAGCGAAGGGCTACATACGGGAATCGAAATCGCCAATCTCATCCCCCTTCTTCTTCATCAAAAAGAAGGAAGGAACACTGCGACCCGTGCAAGATTACCGCCGGTTGAATGCGATCACCGTTAAAAATTGCTATCCCTTGCCGCTGATCGCCGAAATGGTGGATAAGCTCCGCAGCGCTACGCTCTTTACGAAGTTTGATGTCCGATGGGGATACAACAATGTCCGGATCAAAGCCGGTGACGAGTGGAAAGCGGCCTTTGTGACTAACCGAGGGTTGTACGAGCCCTTGGTGATGTTCTTCGGTCTCACCAATTCCCTCGCGACCTTCCAGGCAATGATGAACGAGATCTTCCACGATCTCATTGTCGGTGGCAAGATCCTTGTGTACTTAGATGATATACTCATATTCTCCACCAACAAAGAGGAGCATGAGAAGGTCACATGCAAGGTTCTGCACCGCCTTCAGGACAATGATCTGTTCCTGAAGCCTGAGAAGTGCGAGTGGGATGTTCCCAAGGTCGACTACGTCGGCTATGTGTTCAGTGGCGATGAGGTAGCGATGGATCCCGCAAAACTGAAAGGAATCAATGAGTGGCTGGTACCCCGGAACAAGAAAGATGTTCAGAAGTTGCGGGGGTTCTCCAACTTTTACCGCCGCTTCATCAAGGACTTCGCCAAGATCTCACGACCACTTGACCGGCTCACAGGGAATGACCCATGGCATTGGGGCAAAGAGGAGCAGCACGCCTTTGATGAGCTCAAACGGCTCTTTGCGACGACTCCAGTCCTAGCACTGTACGATCCTAATCCAGAGACGCGCATTGAAGTTGACGCCTCGGGCTACGCCACTAGCGGTGTGCTGATGCAGAAGCAGGATGACAGCAAGTGGCATCCCATCACCTTCCGATCCCATGCGATGGATCCGGCACAGCGGAATTACGAGATCTACGAGGAGGAGATGCTCGCGATCATCGAAGCACTAGACGACTGGCGCCACTATCTCGAGGGCCTACCCAATCAGTTCAAGATCGTAACCGATCATAAGAATCTCGAGTACTGGCGCACGTCACAGCACCTCACGTGCCGGCAGGCACGCTGGTCGCTGTTCCTGGCTCACTTCAACTTCCGCATCACGCACAAGGCCGGAACGTCCAATGGAAAGGCTGATGCCCTGTCGCGTCGATCAGACCATCAGATCGGCGATGAGGACAATAACACCGATCAGGTGGTTCTCAAGCCAGAGCGCTTCCGCATCGCCTCCGCCAGGCGCAGTCATGCCTCGGTGACGGCCGATTAGTCGCTTCTGAAGCGCATCAGGGAATGTTCGGAGAAGGATTGGGAGGTGGCCGAGGCACTCGAAAAGGTGCAGAACCTTGGGCCACCACGGCTGCAAAGGGGCTTTGAGGAGTGGAATGCCGAACAAGGGCTTCTGCTGTTCTGCGGGTGTGTATATGTTCCAAAGAATGCGGAGCTCTGGCGGGATATAGTCAAGATCCACCACGACTCGCCAATCGCCGGACATGGCAGTCATGCCAAAACCCTCGAGCTTGTATCACGGAACTACTGGTGGCCAGGAATGTCCAAGTTTGTCAATGTAACACAAAACCTATAAACCCACCTTATAGCTTGATGGTAAGGGGGGGAGATAAAGCACTTAAGTGTGGGGGAGGTAATGCTGTTAAGCGCAACAACGAAGTGAATAGAACTGGGGGACAGGGTGCCCCAGGATGCTGCCTTATATACATGAGGGAAAACCCCCCAGGGACCGGTAATGGACCCCTGGTACCTAGCTGGGTAAGGATTACTAAGTATCATGTGCTCTATGATGTCATATATGATGTCATAGTCTGGCCCTGCCCTGCCCTGGGCCTAGGGTCCAGAATTGACCGGCCTATGGCCTAGTGCCTAAGCCTAGCTCCTACCTATGATGTCAGAATGATGTTATGGTCCAGAAGGAGTCTGGTTTCTATCTAGAAAAGGTCCGGCATCAGAGTCCAGCCTAATGTGTCCAGAACAAGATCATGTGTCGCTTATTTAAGCGGATAACCCCTTAGATATGCAGCTGTACTCATATGCGGACGGATAAGTATGGATAAGTCCCTATACCCTTTGATATGTCCGCAGAAATAGCGGAAAAATTAGGTAAAATTAGGGAAACTGTAACAGTACCTCTGTCTCTAGCTTCGAGCTCCGTTTGAGAAGTTTCGACCATTTGACCAGTGAAGTGCCTTTACACTTTGGTAATCTCGAGATCACAATCGGCTATACACTCAATAATGAGCTGAGCAATGGGGTCGCCTTTGGCGATCTTCAGCTCAGATGGTCCAGTGTTGGTAACAACAACCTTGACTTCGGCTGGGTCACCCCACTCGATAATGCCTTCAATTGCTTGGATTCCTTTGGCTAATGGATTTCCTACTGGGGTAATTCTCCCGTAGGTGCCGACTGGTAGTTGTATCCGGATTCCTGTCCGAATCTGCAGTGTTGCGTTACTGGCGACTTCCTGGTTTTGACTCGCATACAGTTCAAAGCCTGCTGCTGTATCGGTCTTTCTCTTGGGTTCCTGGCCTCCTTGTAGCTCAACTCGGAGTGTTGCATCCCTTTTCAGGAGAGCAAACACCTTGTCATCATTATCATCGAGTGCCCTGATCGCATGCGGGTGCGCGTCGTGATATTCTTTGATGAGTTCCTTCGAGCCTTTGAGGTTCGCTACTGGTTCCCATGTATCCTCATCAGGAGTGGTATTCTTCCATCGTACGAGATACTGAAGCTTGCGGTAGTGCCGGCGAGAGGATAAGATCTTTTCCACTTCCCATTCTTCATGGCCATCAATGATAACTGGCTTTGCAGCTGGTCCTTTCTGGCCTGGGATTTCCGCCTCATGGTAGGGTATTAGCTTACTGGCGTGGAAGACCGGATGTAGTTTGGTCAACCTCGGTGGCCATTTCAGTCTGAAGGTGACTGGAGAGAGTTTTTCAACAATCTCAAAAGGCCCCGAATACTGTGCGTTGAGTTTTCGACCGGTGGTTTGGTAGTCTCTGAGGTCAAGTAAGACCTTATCGCCCACCTTGAAGGGGACTTTCTGGACTCCTTGGTCGTAATACCACTTCATACGCTTGGCTGCCAGTTTGAGAGCGGCTTTCGCCTGCTCCTGCGCTTGTTGTCGGTTCCAAACAATGTCATTAAGGTCGCTTTTTTGCACCTTCTTTGTAAGTGTTGGACCTGCCCGTGGATGTCTGCCGTATTCCAAGAAGAATGGTGTCTCCTTGGTGCCCTCATGCGCTGCATTGTTGTAAGCAAACTCAGCAGAGCTAAGTAGCCTTGACCAGTCGTCGAGTTGATAGTCGATGTAGCAGCGAAGATATTGCTCCAGAACTTGGTTGACTCTTTCAGTCTGACCATCAGTCTGTGGGTGGTACGTGGTGGACATGGTGGACTCAATCCCTAGTAGCTTACACCATTCCTGGAACAGTGTAGCTGCAAACTGAACACCTCGGTCGGATATAATCTGGGATGGTAAGCCATGAAGCGGATACACCCGATTGTATAGCAATTCTGCTAGATCCTTTGCCGAGAATTCGTTTGTTATTGGGTAGAAGTGAGCCCGCTTTGTTAATTGATCCACGACTACGCAAATGGCATCATAACCATCTGATTCTGGGAGCTGAGTGATGAGGTCGACGGTTATAACTTCCCATGGCCCTTCCGGGACACGGTTGGGTTGTAATGGTCCATATGGCTGCTGCGGACGGTTCTTCATCTGTTGACAAATGTCGCAGCCAGTCACATACTTTTTGACAAATACCGACATGCTAGGCCACCAATAGTTGCGTGAGACAAGTTCATATGTCTTCCACCTTCCGGGATGTCCGGCTGAAGGGAGATCATGATGCATTTGAACTATACGCCTGCGCAAGTGGTCCTGCTTGCTGTTGGGGATATATACTTTGCCGCGATAAAGCAACAATCCATTCTCATAGTTCCAGTCCACAAGGGACTTGCCAAATTCTCTAGGACCTGACTTCAGCAATTGCTGATAATTCTTGGTCACATCGTCTTGTAGGAGTGCTTCCTTCACTTCCCTCAGGAGTTGGTCGTCATTAACGGGCGACTCATGGGAGGCCTCGACTGCATTGATTGCAAAAAACTCCGGTTTCAACAAAGTTTGATCCCGATTATCGAGGTTCACCCCCTCCTCATGGTCTGGCCTCCTGGACAAAGGGTCGGCGGTAAGCATTGTTTTTCCTGGCTTATGGCGCAAAAGAAAATTGAATCGCATGAGGTACAGAGCCCATCTTGCTTGTCTCCTGGTCAACTTCTGGGCGGTCTTGAAGTAAGTCAGATTAAGATGATCTGACCAGATCTTGAATTTGTCCGAATGTCCCTCCAAATAATGCCTATACTCCTCGAGTGCTCGAATGATAGCAAGCATCTCTTTGTCATATATCTCATAGTTCCGCTGATGAACATCGAGTGACTTTGAGTAAAAGGCAACTGGGTGCCACAACTTGTCAGTTGGGTCCAATTGAGAGAGAACTGCGCCAGTCACAAAGTCGCTGGCATCAGTCTCAAGTCTAAACGGGGACGTTGCATCCGGGATTCGAAGGATGGGTGCTGAGGTAAAAGTCTCTTTCAGACCATTAAATGCCTCTTCCTGCGCCACATCCCACACCCATGGTTGATCCTTCTTGGTCAACGTAGTGAGCGGTTTGGCATACTTGGCAAAGTCCTTGATGAATCTTCGATAGAAGTTCGCAAAGCCTAAGAAAGCTTGGACTTGTTTGACCTTAGTAGGCCGTGGCCACTCAGCTACTCCTGAAAGTTTCTTTGGGTCCATCTCGATATGTCCTTTGGAGATAATCATGCCGAGGTACTCAATGCTGCTTTTTTCAAAGGAGCATTTTTCCGGTTTGGCAAATAGATTGTTCTCCCTCAGCCGCTTCAGGACTTCCTTTGTAAGCTTACGATGTTCCTTGAGATCATTCGAACAGATGAGAATGTCATCAAGGTAGACTATGACTT